TACAGATAAGGAAAGTTCAGGCGAGTTAAGCAAAAGCAGCCTCTTTCCTTTTTTTTTTTTTTTTTAAACTCAGGGAAGTGTTGAAGTGTTCATGAAAGAAAATTCACCTGGAATTATGGTTCAGCTCTTGGGATATGTCATCTACCATGTCATTTTCTGATGCTTCGTGGGCCATGGCTTTGCAGAGTTTACAGGCCACCAGTGCTTTAGCCATAGCCTCTTCCCCATGCTGCCAAAAAAAGAGGGCCATCTTCTGACGCTTCATCAACACAGCCCAGACCATCAGCTCATGAAATGGGAAGGGGAAATGATTGATCTCAGGGTCATCCAAATCAATATCAACTTCTTCTTCTCTTTTTTTTGTTGTTTTCCTCCCTCGCCGCAAAGGGACATCATCCTGTGAGAATTGTAGAGGAATTTTTTTTCACTGGTGAAGGAACTGAATCAATTCACATAATGCATTGCAGTCAGTACCTGAGATGTCACACACATTCCCCGCACACCAGCCCCTTCTTCTTTTTTTGAGAAAATATTTAACACAGGAAAATGATGAAAATAGTATTGGTCCATGCACCATAATTAAGAAATCAGTAACCCCATACCTAAACATGGGGAAAAAGAGCTTCGGACTATCACTCTGAAATGTTCTTTCTCCCTAAGAACACAGAGCACAATCACACAATATCCAGAACCATTTTTGGAAAAGCCACCATTAAAATATAGCTAAGACTTCACTCCAAATCTAACATCTGTTCTAATGCCTCCACCTCGTTCCACTTCCAGAAGGTACAAATCCAGGGGATGTTCTGGTCTGCTGAAGAATCCCTCCCTGCTTATTCTTATGTTTTCTCCCTTTATCTTCTCACAAGAGTAGGAATCTCTTTTCTTCACTCCCATTCTACCTTTGTATCCCATGTTTATCCCTTTCTCCAGCTCTTTGTAGTTTCTATTGCCTTTAGTTTCTTTCCCATTTTAGCCTACTGCTTTTATCAGAGGAGCTGACCTGTTCTGTGGTGAGTCTGTGGACAGCAAAATGAAAGTTGTTGTATAAAATAAACAAACAAGAAAACACTACGATCTCCTTGAAGCATTGGAGTAGCCAAAAGTGTCAACAAACTGATAGAAATTTGGCCCATGTAAAGATTTCTGCTTCATTCTCTGCAACTGTTTAATTTCTCTGAACACATTTAAAAGTTACATAGTTATCTGACCAAAATTCTCCTTGGCCTGACAGATTGAAACACTTTCTTTGATTTTCGTGAAAAGAAAAATGATGCGTAGAGGGGGCAGAGCCTTCTTTTTGCTTGTCTATACGCTGCAGTTGTATTAAGAAATGTTTCTTAATCTGGCCCTTGTGTAAACAAGTTATCTGAATGAAAAATACAATTTGTGTGGCACATTTCTCATAGAAAACTTAAAAACAACTATTGGTGCCTTCATTACAGTGAATTTAAACATTATCTTGATATAGCGTATTTTTGCCAAAGAAGGAAAAGACATTAAGATTTATCACATATCGCCTACCTCCATTCCCAACAGTTTCAGGGCTTTTGGCTGTACAAAAAAGTTAGAAAAATGTTATTTCTCCCAGAATAGTGATGAAAAATTACAAATATATGTTTATACATACATACATTCACACATGCATAAGTGTTTAACATGTGACATGTAACATAATATAGAGTATATAATAGACAATGTCTAATATAGATAATAGATATGTAATGCAGTATAATATACATATTTACATCAAGCGAATAATTACATGTATATATTTCATTCAACCTTGACTTCGACCCTATTTCTCCAAAACATACTACAGAAGGCATACATTTGGATTCAAGTACAAATTATAGCTGGTTTGAGGCTGTTCTAGTGGAAAAGAGATAGGAATTACTGCTAAGGCATGAATGCATTTCTCTGGACTATATCAGTATCTTGGCCATTCCCCTGGCACACTTTTGTTGATGCTGTGGAGCTGCTCTCTATGTTGATTCACTACCTGTGGAATCACTATTCAAATGCTTTTCTTAATGGAGTGACTAAGGGAAGCAAGTCTCTTCTCTAAGGGAAACGGCTACAATTACTACCTTTCCTGTCAAAAGTGAAGAAGCAAAAAAGTTTGGTGAAACAAACCCATTCCAGGTGTTTGGCTGTAACCATATCACAGAGCTGTTGCTCTTTATAGCCACTTAGAACAATATTCAATAATACGTATTGCTAAAATCTGAACTGAGACAGGAAATGAAAATATGAGGTAAAAATACAGGTAATGAAAGAACTGCAGATCTTACTGGGAGCAGTTGAGCAGATTTTTCTTCATGTTAGATTAGGTCGGTGGAATTATGGACAATAATATGACAGTAAATATCTTTTATGGTTTAGAAAGGTGGTAAACTTACTTTGGATTCAAGGTACTGTAATCTATAGAACATGAAAACCACAAAACTACTGAACAGTGCTTTTGCTGTGAGTTCATTGACTCTGCTGGAGCTATATCCAGCCAATAAAGCCAATTTTGAGTTACAGGTTTCTTTGCCCTGATACCTCCAGGCCACAATCAAGATGATGAGCCAGGAGATAGGAAATGTGTCTATTTTTTTTTTTGACACAATTTTTTTTCAAGTCTAACTCAGGTGCCCTATGGTATTATTATTACTACAGGTCAAAAAACTTGTCTTTCAAAAGCTGTGGATACTCATAGTTGCAGATTTTAGAGCCAGAGGAGACTGTTTTATGTCTTGGGCTCACCAGGGCAGCAGAACCCAATAATTTTTTAATTAAATTCATAAAAAATGTAGCTCATATCAGTGGCTGGCTTGCAGTGTGTTGTGGTGAAATAACTGCTATGTACATAATGGAAATGAATCTGTAGACTGAATAGTGTATGCAAGTGGATCCCCCAGCCTGGAACCATCTAAGAAGCTATGGTAATTCCTGCCAGTGGGTGCAGTCATACAGGTGGCAAATAACTTGCTCCTTACCCTTTTGGGCCCAAATAAATTGTGGTACAGTGTTCTGAAGCGCTTCCGAGTGTAATTGCAGCGATATGCTCCTCCCATCAGGTACTCTATCACCAAACCAATGTCAATCAGACTTATCCGATAATCAGGAGGTAAATTTCCCTGCAGTGAATATAAGAAGGATGGTGGGGGAGGAATAAATGCCTGTTACTGGTGTTGTTAAATATACTTTTTAAAGATGTTAGAATAAAACAAATTAAATAGTTAAAAACAGGAATGTATTATTATGCTGGTTAATTAATTCACCTTAAAATAGATCCAACCGAAACCTGGATATTCTCGCTTGGAAAGAAGACATAAGTTAAATAAGAAGGTGAAGAACTTGATGGAAGTAACAGAAGATAACATCAGTACACAGTACTCATATTCTTCAGCTGGGGAAACAAGGAACACGACTGCAGAACAAAAAGCACGAGGATCAGCACACTTGAAAGTTCAGGCACAGTTGCTGGACTCTAGTCCTGCAAGATAGCACCTTTTCTGCACCATCTGTCCCCCACAACTCTTGTCCTAGCATCTCAATTCTTTGCTGGTATCTCTTCCGACTGCCTCATCTGCACTGCTGAGGCACGGTGAAGTGACATCATGTGATATCTTTTATTCACATGGAACCAGCTCCTGTGTGTGATCTTCCTAGCCTGCAGTGCTTCCTTCCCATGTTTCAGGAAAGGAAGGGCAGGAGGGACATCCACTGTAGAGGACTTACACAGTGTATGAGTTATTATTATTGCTAGTCACTAGAGGCAAGGAGAGTCTGTTAGCATTCGGTCTTAGACTTATGTACAGATAAACACTTATCTTTGCTTAAATTCCACACCTAGTATGAGGAAAGCATCTGTGTGTATCAAAGTAAGTATGAAAGTTGTAATAAACAAAATATCTGTGGCTAATTCTTTGGGGTTTTGTTCCAGAAGAAAACTACCGGCCTAGCAATTTTCCTAGATAGTCTCTCCTTGAACTCCCAACATATTTTACAGAAAGCCCCTCTAAGCATGGTAATCTTGCTACCTCATTTCTAGCAATACCAGGGAGATTTTCTCCCAAGAGGTGAACTGTGCTTGTGGCCAGGGTCATTAGCAGGATCCTGGAAAAGGCGTCTACATATTTGCTTTTCCATTTCTTTTCCTTTGTTATCCTCTGTTAAATATAATGTATATATACGTCTTCAGCATGCACCTTTTATTTTGAAGGGAAAAAGAATGATAAATATGTCCACGTCTTATTGCCCTCACTTTGTCAAATCCCTTGCACGTATATTCCTTCTTTTCACTGTCAACCGTGAAAATGGCAACATGAAGGTTATGAGTTCTCCAATACTTATGGCTCACAAAGCTATGAAGAAAGATCTCAGTAACAAATTGTCTTTTACTGCATATGAATCTGAGTCTGCCTTTCAGTTAACTAGGCATTTCTATTCTCCAGTGGCAATAAGCCTGATGTGACATCTAGGAGGCCAGAACATTTTCAGGGTGGGCTGGACTCACAGATGTGCTGCTAAAGCGCTCTTGGAGGTATCTGGCAATGGAAGAACAAAACCCCAGCATGGGCACATCAGCTGTTCTGTTCCCTCCTGGGAACTCCACAAGGAAAAGTGTGATCCCTTTACAGGAGGAAAGGGCTAATGGGAAAGGAATGCCCCCAAATGAAAGTTTGCCTCCTTCTCTAAATCGTTGCCTCTGAATTGTTCAGATGACAGTTTATGGTTCAACGAGCTGTTCCCTACCAGAAAAGAAGGCATGATTGAGCAAATTGTGAATGGGTCACTCAGATACAGAGCTCTCATTAAGAACCCTGTGGATTTACAGAACCCCCTCTGTCCTGTATGTCATTGTGCAAGAGATGTAACTACAAATTAAAGAAGGAAAGAGAGGTAAATTATCCTTCTGTGAACTGCGAGCAGTAGCCTTGGAAAAGAGAAAATTACTCTAATAAAAAATTAACTTGTATAGTCAACATTGCAGAAGGATCAGGAAATTGTAATTGTTAGCTTCAAACTCTTTCAGTCCACTGTAATAAAATAATCACATTTTCTATAATGATATACAGCACAGATTACAGTTAGCCTGTAGCTCTTTTTATGTGGTCATCAAAAGGAGGTTAGTAATTTGCATGCAGCAATTTTATGACTGCCATGTCTTGCTGGAAATATCTGCATGTCTGCAGATATCTGCCTGGCTTCTCTGCAGACGTGCTTATTAGATTCAGAGCAGAGAAACACTAATGGAGAGCAGATGGCAACTGGTTCTGCAGAAGAGATGAAATGGATGCAAAGACCCTCCTTCCTCTTCTACTTCAGCCAGGAAGAGCAATGTTTATTTCGCTCCCTGCTCACCATGGCCCAAACAGCACGCTGAAATGCTGATGAACGAGAGTGGGAGGTAGTGCTGTGGTGTACCATGGCTAGCAATGGGCTAGGGTTCAAAGGGACAGATCAACCAGATTTAGTGGCAAAAGGTGAGCTGCCAACTGTCTTTCATGTAACGTCCCTTAGCATATCCTTTTGCACTCTTCCTACTCTTGGCTAATCTAATGGGCAGGGGAATCACTACGGTTTGTAGGAATACGTATTAGCTTAGCTTATTTGAACCCAGTCATTTTTATTCTGAACTGTTTAATAATGTAAATCTAAAAATTAAATCTTACTAGTTTTTGTTTGTTTGTTTGTTTGTTGTACGCAAAATGTTGTTCTCTCTCCAGAATGCTTAAAGCAATGACAGTTTTATGAGAACAAGGATGAAGGCACTGGCAGAAGTGGGAGCTGTAGCTCCAAGACGGAGTTGTGGTTCTTCAACAGATTCCTGCCGTCTTACTATAAGACACTAAAACTGAATGCTCTGATATTATTAAGTGGCAAAAACTACTTGAGCAATTAAGAAAGCACAACAGGCATTAGGGTGCTGCATGTGTTATAAAAGCATGAGTTTCTTGATACAGTACTCCTGATTTCTAAAATTTCATAAGGGGATTTCGATAAAAAATTTCCAATAGAGTAACTTTAATAAAAGATGCATCTAAACCTCCCAGATAATATTGAAACACTTTACTGAAGAAAACTCACAAATTCACAGCAGAAATACACATATATATCGTTCCATGCTAACCCACAATTACTTTTCCAAAGCAGCCCTAGTAAAGCAAATCGGACCATCCTTGTGCGAGGGGTTATGGATGTGCCAATGCATTTACTGTATCAGCAAACATCTTGAACCACCCTGGCAGTGATGAATCTGCTTGTAAGTGAAGCACTGTGGTGCAAGTGGGCCAGAACCCCTCCAAGAACAGCAAAAATTTGGATGGGTTAATGCTAGTAGAGCGAAGGTAGTCAAGAATGACAGAGAAGAAGGTTTGATTTTTAGGTATGGTAGGTACCTCAGTTAATAATCAACTAACCTTTTAATATTGGGTCAAGCTCTTCAGTGCTAATGCATGATTCTTTTCCTGAAGAAAGTTTAACTTTAAACTGTAGCTAATCAATTATAGTATTTTTTTCTCTTCAAGTGTATTTCTATATTCAGCAGGCACGAAGCCTCTGATTTTGGATACTCAGGAAAAAATACTTTCAAAATTCTGTATATTGCTTGTTAATTCTCTAGAAATGTAGACATACAGTGGCATTCCAAAACAAAGAACTTTGAAAACTTATATCACCCCAGAGTGGGATTAAGATATATTGATTATATACCATTTTTGGGTTAAAGAAAAAATTCACCTGTTAACTTCTACTGATCTTCATTAGCTAGTCGAGCCACAGAAGGATTTTTAAAAGGCAACCTGTAGAGGCCAACCTTCACTGCCACACAGGCTGTCCAGCACGGCCACCGCTTCTTCCTGCCTAGGCGGGGGGCATGGGCTGGTATGGCCCAGGGCAGGCAGCCGGCCCTGCCTGATGGAGACTATACCCTCCGCAGGAGACGTCAAAAAGGCCATGAGGCAAACCACGCAGGAAGATTTGTCCCCATATGTAGTTATGGAATTGAGAGGACTGAAAAGAGAGATGAGCACCATTGTCTCTAAAGCGGAGTCATTAAGAAGTACTTTGTCTTGTTATACGCAGAAATAAAGTGCGCTGTGATTACTGTAAATTCTTTTAAGGCTGCATCTCCAGGTCTTTACAATATGCTGCCCAGGCTAACATTCTTCACAGTAGTATTTGGAAATCCAAAGAGAAAATAAATTGTTGTCTTATATGTTTGTGTGTGTGTGTGCACACATGGGTGTCTGTAAGCTGTCACAAAGAGGATGTGCTGATGTGACTTCCGTTGTTCAAATTCTTTATTAAGCAGGCAAGGTGGTCTTTCAAACAACCCCCACCCCCCCCAGTGACTTATATAGCTGTGTAATACAATAGCAGTAAATTAAATAAGGCTTCTATAATTTGTAAGCATCCATTCTGTACTTGAGAATTCACAATGAAGCAGATGTAAGTAACTTTTTATAGCATGCACCCTTTTAAATAGTGCAGGTTTTAAAATTGGGATGTATGCATAAAAAGCACAGATTATGCATATCCTTTAGGTGTTGTCTTAAGGTGACATAACTACATTTTTTGTATTTATAATTTGTGATACTGTAATTAAATCTGACAGGTTAGGTATCGGGCATCAAAATATATAGAAACTCAAAAAACTAGTATAGGCAGTGTGGTCTGGTTTTCATGCGTGGTGGGCCACTTAACTGTCAAATAGTGATGTCCATTAAGAAGTTATTTTGAAGGAGATGTTTTCATTTAAACTGCTGTCAGATCTGCTGACTGATTTACAGCTTGGTTGACTGGTAAGGGATCTGCTCAGATGGCAGGGCTATGGCGAGCTGTCACTTTTCTCCAAGTGAATCGCAGTTGTTCCTCATCACTAACAAAATAAGAAATACAGCCCCAGAGGTGCAGTTTTCTGACAAAGGTGCTAGGGGGCTGCACCAATCTGTTTTTAAAGCCCTTAGCTATTCAGTTAAGAGTACACATTGACTTAATCTAGTGGGAATTACTGGAGACTTTAGATACAGACAGAGGGAAGAAAGATGAGTTTATAGAAAAATGACCATCACATAACATTTAACAATCACTGTGTAACAAATAATGTCATTAAATACAATGTAAGCTTATTTAATGCCAAAGTCTATCAATATATACCTATGAGTACTGATCGTCTTTGCCTATTTTCATGGCTTTTTTTTCAAGAACTCCTTTAAAAATACATCTTTTGTTAGGGACTCAGGAAAACATGTCGATATTATTTAGTCAATCAACATACAAATTGCTGTGCCTTTGAAGGAGGACTCAGAAAGGTGATGCTGGGGGAGCGAAGGAGTTTAAAAGTTATTATATTTTAAAGTAAGAAGACAGATGATGCTTGTTTCAAACTCTTATAGGCACATAAATGACAGTGTATTTAGTAAAACAAAAATTCTGGTAACTTGGGCTTCAAGGGAAGTATCCAGTCTAAATGTATTCTAGCTTTACTCTGCTCCATCCGAGGGGATTTGTGCGTAAGAACAGTTTCAGCTTCTTCTGTAGCCATTTCATGCTTTCCGATGGTCACTTAATATGCTATATATAATTGAACAATGATGATGCCATGTAACACACTAACCAAAGAAAACCACCAGAACCTCCCTAAACGTAACTACTGATTATTCTGTAGCATTATTTAACACAAAGAAAATATATGAAGCATTGCCACTCCTCTCCCTTAGTTGCCTTTGATTGTGCTCAGCTGTCAGTGACAGAAGAAACAAACAAAACCTGTGCCCTTACAAAAAATCTCCATTACTTTTTCAGTCTTCTATCTAGTCCCATGTACAGAAATCTCCTTTCTCAAGTATTCTACCCTTGAGGTCCGAATTACGTAAAGTGCAAGGTTATAATCTGCACATGCTTTGGGAGAATATTCAAGCTGATGAGATCAGTTGCAGACTCAATCTCCTTGATTCATATATTTAGGGTATAAGGGATTTTCATTCACTGCTGCTGCTGTAACACTTTTAATCCTGAACACATTGCTAAAGGTATTTGGTATCTTCTGCCTGTCACTATACCTTTCTATGTTTCTGTCCTGCTGTCCTAATGGCTCTTTATAATTCAACATGCTTGAAATTAGCTTGCTAAGAGGGCAGAGAAAAGTTGCACTACTTCTTTTTGTATGTTTCCGCTGAGGAAGATGGCTACAACATACCACGCAACACAGAACAAGGAACGGTTTCAACAAACTGGGATCCAGCACAAGGATAAGGGCTATTTTACAGGCTTGGACTAGACTAACAACATGGAAATTAGCTTTGACAATAGTTGCAGGTATGGAAAAATACAAGTAATGGCATAAATCCACATGGTATGGAAGAGCCTACAATTATGCTAGCAGAAGCACTATTACCCAAGCATCTAAAACTACAGAGAAAGCAAGCCAAGTAACTTGCTAACTGTGCTTTGTATGCAAAAAGTTCATATTAGGTACATACAAACAGTACATTCTGTAATGGCAGGGGAGGGAGAAGGCTCTGACTGAAAGCTCATGCAAAACAGAGATTGTATCTAGCTACAAAAAGCAATGATAGCATTATCTCCAACCTACCGTCTATGGGACTCTTACCTTTTTGACGTCCCTGACTAGATGATATAGTGTGTTGGATGGTCCATGTCTCTGCAAAGGACAAACAAAGAAGAATAAAGTAGTTTTGTGCTGTCCAAAGACCTGCAAGGTGTAAATGCTGAAATGGCTTTCTCACTTTAGTAGTTCAAAAATCAGGGAACTGACAGCACTTCAATTGTACAGTGTTATCAATTAAAAAAAATAAAATCAATTACAAGAGTGTTATTTCACCTGACTTTTGCTTTGTACAAAATCCTTCAGTAAGAAAATCACAAGAACTGCCATACTGGATGAAAACTAAGGTCCTATATACCAGACTAGGCTACTGTCTTAGGCAAAGCAGGAGCCCAGCACAACATGCACAGCCTCTGGGAGAGAGTGGAAGGAAAAACAGATGCTTAAGTATCAGCCTTCCTGCACTTGGGATCTCCATTTCCACCGTTGGTGGCTCAGATAGGCCCTGAGCCCGACATTGCATCTAGCTTGTCTTATCTGAAAGCCACTACCAGCACGCAGTCTGTGAATTTGTCCAATCTTCTTTTCACTCCACCTGGCATGCAAAACATGCTGCAGCAGACTCCCACAATTTCATTTATATGTTATGTGCAGAAGTACTTTTTTTTTTCTCTTGCGTTTTTGACTGTTGCTGCTATTTTAAGAGACTTCTATGGGAGGTTTCCTTGGCTGTAACTGATGATAGATGAGACCACTGCATATGTGCAGAGTTAGTGTTTCCATATATACATTGTTCTGCACTTGCCAATGCTTAATTTTATGTAACTCCATCACTGAGCATGATGAGACTTTCCTGTGATTCTTCATATGCTGCTTCAGATTTGCCTACCCTGAGTAATGCCAAATCACCTGTAAACATTGTTCCTTCAGTAATTATTATTTTTCAGATCATCTCTAAACAGGTTGAACAGCAGTAGTCGCAGTACAGGGTCTTGGATGACCCTAGTTGTAATGTCCTTTTGTGGTGAGAACAGATCATGTATTCCTACTCTCTGTTTTCTATCCTTTAAGTAGTTTTTAAACCATGTGCCCCTTATCTTCTATGCCATGACAGCTAAATTTCTTTAATAACTTTTGAGGTTTTCAGATATTGTCAAACAGGTTTTGCAAAAACAGGTGGACGAAGTGCAACATCCTTATTTTCCTGCATGTTGACTTTAGAAACGGTACTAGATTTCTAAGGCCTAACATTTTCCTACAGAAGCCGGGTAAACTCTTTCTTGACATAAGATTGATCCCCTCATCTATTAATTCTATTCTTTACTGTATTTTTACAAATTTGCCATGGTAGAAGTTAGATTCACTGGTTTGTAGCTTCCCAGGTCACTGTCATGACTTGTGTTGAAATTTGATATTATTTAACTGGCCTCGTAATTTTTTTGGTGCTAAGGCTATTATGGATACATTAGGTCATATAATTGGTAGTTTAGGCATTTCACAGCCTGAGTCTTTTAGAACTCTTTCATTAATAATTTATAGTGATTTCTATAGTGCATAATATATTTGTTCAAAAAGGCCTTCTTTTAACTGCAGAACTGAAGACTGTCCTCAGACTTACTCCCTGTAAAAACTGACTTTGGGACACGAACTACAATGCTTATCTCTGTAGCAAGAAAGCTCATAGGTGTTACGTTCTTAATACATAGATGTGAGTTGATAGGCAAAGTTTAAGTCGATCAAAGATCAGATGGGAATCTGCCTCAAGGGTTGCATGGATACCTGTTCCTCTGTATTTTGCACAAATTTAATTAATTATTTTCATATTTGATATTTCCGAAAAGCTGACTTCTGGTCACCATCAGTGTGAAACATTTCTGGATAACAGCACTGTGTGGCAGCTTATGATGGCAGGGCTTTGAAAAGTACTGGCAGAAAAAAACTTTTTGAAACGGGCTATGCACTATATCACAACCTCTCTCCAACAGACAGAACTAGCAATCCTAAGAACTAGATAATGCTTTAAGTTTTTTTCCATACCACTTAAGTAATTTGAACTTATTGGTTTCTGTTGGTAGGCAATAATGATGTGAATGCTGGAATGTGTTTTGCAGTTGAGATATCAGAAGCAATTTGAACCTGTGCAGTTTTATGTTCATTTTAAGGGCAAAGATATAAAATTTGCAAACAGGCTTTTAAAAGTCCAAACTATCATTTTTGGAACATTCGGTCAGGACATGGGGAAGTCCTTCACTGCAATAGACCTCCTGAAATCATCAGATTTTGCCTTCAAATTCAGAATACTACCCCAAGAAGTTTGCTTCTATTTGTTTTCTAGTGTCTGAGTTTCAATAACAGTTGCAAGATTTTTCTGGAACCATAAGGTTTTATACTGTCAGGAGTCAGAGATCACAATCCTACAGGTCCTAACTTGCCAATTACTGTCTTCCAGTCAGTGCCTTCTGCCTAAATCTGTGGTCTATCATATTGGAATTACAATGACCAGAAATCAGCTGGTACTGTGTGGGGCTTAATCCATGTCTTACAAAATCTGTGCAGCAGATTAGGTGGGCAAGACACAGCATGTTCCATCATATGAGAGACGAAGCTAAGACACAATGTGGACTCCAACATGGAGAATTTCTGCAGCAGGTATTGGCTGCCTTGTGCATCACCATGTCATTGTAATACAAGTGGGAGCTAGAACAATGAACACAGAGGTAGAAAATTTGCCTTAGGTTGGCCCTACCGTATTGTACAATTCCTCTAGCCGGGAGATGGTGAGAAAACGATGCATGCTTACTCCATTTTCTATGAGTAATTTCACAAAATCCACTCTGTCCAACACCAGTGCATCCAGCATTGCTTGCTCAAGGGAGCCCACCTGCAAAGTAAGTGATTAATTCAGGCCATTCCTGGGCATTGCAGGCTGTACCCAGCTGGTCTGGTCACCCTGGCACAAGTAGGGAATCCTGACAAAATTCTGAGGGTTGCTGTGCCAAACTTAAAATGGGATAATCATAGTTTTAGTCTATATTAGTTTCTTTGATTCAGGGCAGCATTTAAAAAATGAGTGTCAGAGTGCTAAGATTAACATGCTCTAGGAAATACAGATTAGGACCAAGGAACTGGAACCCAGGAAACTGGTGACCACACCTCTAGACTATTCACCATCTCATTATTATCTTTATTTCTTGCTTTCCTGACAAACATTTTATTTATATTGGGTATATTTGTTACATACACGCACACTCTAATTCCATCTTTATTAGCTTTTCCCTCTGTTCGTGGTATGGAAACTCAGGGAAACTTTGACACCCAGGAAGCAGAAATAGCTTCACAAGTAGCATTTCTTTGAAGGGCCAAATGCAAGAGGTCTTCTTAAGCAAAACCTCTCCTTTTCCACCTCTTGCAGATTGGGGGGAGTTAGAAGAATGGGAAATTATATTATTATTATTTGCTTTTAGCTGGCAAAATGATTGCAGCTTGCTGCATTTATGTAAATTTTTGCTATGATGTGGTGATGGACCGATAAAAATAAGGGCAGTTTAGTACCACTAAAATCCATCCTATGTTTTGATGCATACTTATGTCCAATATTGAAGACAAGATAAATAGTCCTGTTCACTCCATGACTGAAAAGGCCAGGATTTTTGAAACTAGCTTTAAGGGGCAGCAGCTCCAGAAACTACATTTGAAGCAATGATATTTACACAGAAACTTTTCCTTTTGTTACATTTTTTCCACTGGGAGTTGTAAATGCTCATGCAATGACAGCATATGAAATTTTCATGACGGTGACAAAAGAAGTGTCACAGTAATGAATATTGCGATCCAATTAAAACTCCCAAATGAGGATATGGTGGGCTTTAAGGAGCTACAGGTATAGAGAGAGAGTCCTCCTTTTCTGGGTGACGTCGTCTACCGCGGTAAAAACTGCAGCACAAGTTGGGAGTTGACTACTCCTCCTCTGCCCCACACAGCACTCGATAACCCCTCTGTTTATAGCCCTCCCACTCCTGCAGGGAATCTCTGCCCACCCCACGGTACCCCCCAGGGCAAGGGTGCTGGCCTGGGAGCCCGTCCGTCCCCGCAGCCGGCAGCTGGAGCACAGGATGGGGCAGGGGTGAAGCAGGCAGGTTGATGCAGAGCAGCACGGGGCGCGAAATTAACACCAGCTCGGGTTTGGAGCCACAGCACTTCTGTGGTAACACTGCTGATCAGCTCTCGTGGTCCACTTGACGACCTCCAACATTTGTGCAGTGTATTTTTGACACCATCAAATTCAGTATTTGTATATAAAAGCATATTGCTTGAAGAGCAAAAAGTTGTTTTGCCTTTCCTTTAATTTATAGCCTAACATTGCAACATGGCTGTAAACAGATACTTGTTTCTCTCAGCTTGCAGAATCATTGCTTGGTAGTATAAATGTGTTGCCTCCTGTCTCTTTAAAGGCGTGGTCCCTCAGTGTTAAGGCATCGCTAGATGTCACCATTTCCTTCAACAACCGAACATACGAACATCTTTGTAACCGTGCCCGCCTTCAGCAGCAGTGAATGGGAACTTGGTGTTCGGCTGGGAGCATGACTCCGTACATTTTAAACCGTGTTAGAATCACCGCCGCCAACAGAATGGATTCAGTGTTGTGTACGGTTTAAAGTGTTTTCAGTAGGAGATGCTGTATATATACTGTACCGGCCACTGTTGCCCGTAAATAAAGATCTGACTGCGGGCGATGTCTACTCTGTTCCAGGCTAATGCTAGGCTCAGCTGGTCGGGAGCAGATGCATTAGCTCCTGCATATACAGACAGGGGTGCAGGGAGGAGGAGAAAAAAGAAACAAGACATACTTTAGACACAGTCAACAGACCACCATGGTAATTCTTCTTTGTCAAAAGTCTCACAGGTGTCCATGTCATTTCTGCAACTATCTCATATTAAAACCAAACCAAACCTTCCATTGTGCCTGTAATAAAATACTGGTTCTCGAATCTGAATCTATGGTTCACAGACTGTCTCATAAACATTAATTATTTCCTCACATTCCCGTTGAAAAGGTACATGTAACATCAGCGGCTGCAACTTGTGCTGGAGTGAACTGGCTTCCCTCCTCTCAGACAGGAAGCAAGAGCAGAAGCCGGGAGGGACACTGATCCAGCTGCAGGGATACGCACACACACACACACCTATGCACATGAATACACACATAGACACACACCTGCATCTAGCAATTACAAACAGGTTCAACTCACACAGACCCCGTCAATTTCAATAGTCGTGTATTATGCACATCCTCTATGTGTTCTCACCTGATAAAGTGGGGATCCTGCACAAGCATAGGAATTTCTCCTCTATTTGTACTGAGGGGTCTTGGAGGGACAAATTTCCCTTCACACATGTAATATTCATGTAAGAAAGCATACTATAAAGCTAGTGTCAAGGCTTAATATATCCAAATTAAATAACAAAATATGCAGATGATAAGATGGGTTTGGAGCTGTTTGTTTTTTGGAAGGGAGGGTATGTTTTTCCCTGTAGTTTTAATAGAAGCTGTGGGACATTCCCGCCCTGCTGTGTTTTTTAAATATTTCACTAAGGATTTAATAGTTATTAGCTGATTTGTAATAATAAAACAGTATTTGTGCTTCAGTGTCACAGGAAGAACTGGCCTGAATGAACTGATCAACCAAATAAACAAAGGGCGCTTTGACTTTTAACTACATTGCTGCTCGCAGTGGTTAGGTGATGTATAAGGGCTCATTTTTTAAAGGCCTCATACCTCCACTGTTTTCTTGTCTTTATTAATTCTTATACTGATATCATAGAGTGAGGACAAACAAGAGATTTTCATTACTTCAAAGCATTTCTGTCCCCATTTCAGCACTATTCAAAATCATGCACTGTTCCAGCTGAAAGTGGACTTTGAAGTTGAAGGCACAGAAAACATAAAGTGTAACACACTGGCTGCTGAAATTCTCTGTGACGGGTCAGTTCAGTAGACCTTTGGGAAACTTAGTCTACATTTTATTTTCATAACTCTCAACTTTGCAGTGAGTTCAGTGCCACAAAACTTTGCCAAATACTTGGCAATATCTAGAGCAATTATTTGGAAGATGGTGGACCGTAGATCATGCAGATCACTTTCTTTCATTTTATTACAGATAATACAGCTCTGATGAAAAGGTAGGTGATGCAGGAGCAGAATGATAGAAAGAAATGAAGAAAAGAAGAAAAAACAGTGAAAACAGTAAAAGACCTTTCTATGACTAAGAAGTAACAAGAACACCCCTTTGTGTAAGACACAGCTTCTCATTGCTATAGATTATGACATAGATGAAAGCTCTCACAAGAGACCTCATGGGGGATGCCAGGGACATCTGAACATTTCTGAGTTTCTTACACAAGCAACATGCAACATTCAAGAAGAAAAAATATTTACCTTTGGGAAGGGCAAAAATCACTCTACTGTTTTATTAATAAAAATGTGAAAAAATACCCACTGTTGTTATGATAATGTAAATTAAGTACAGAGAGCAAATAATGCTCCCCCCTCTTTCTGAAGCAAACAACAGATCCTCTCCAAATCTCTTTGGACCTCCTCCTTCCCACCCATGTGCCTGCAGGAGAAGCGAGAGCTTTGGTAGGTGCTTGGGCAAGCTGTCTGGTGACCAGCAGAGGAGGCACACGGATGAACTCTAAAATCCACGGGCAATGGTGGTGATCCCGCAGCCTGGCACCATTTTGCACGTTGATGGGGAAGCTCCACTGCCTGATCTTCCTAAACTGACTGCAGCCTACAGTCTAGGTAGCCAGGGGTGCAGCCTGGTTAGAAAACATTTTGGATCAAGACTGGATGAGATGGACTTGGGGAAGGAAGTGGGCTACTTACACTGCCCCTGCTTCAGCCAAAACTGAAGCCAAATCATAGAGGCTCTAAGCAAACATCTTCTAACTTCTAGCAGGGAGCCTTCCCCAGGCTGTGTCGGGTGACCTAGCTTTCCTGGGCCTTTCATGCTTTAGGAAGGACTCAGCTGTTGGATGAACACAGGGCCTTCAGATGATGTGAAAGAGCAAATGGCATGGGGCATGAGGCAGTGGCTGCATCTCCAGAAAGGCCCCCAAGCCCAGTAGTTCATCAGAATTGTTTTCTTTGACCATGGTTATTACTCCAAATACTGAGCAGAGGAGAAAGCAAGCCATGGTCAAACACCTGTCCTTCCCACCTCTCTCCATGGTGTTTAAGGCTGCCAGCAGTGGACAAATTTTCTTGTTGGTGCACGTACAGTCCTGGAGATGATGCTCTTCTCAGTGCTTGTTACCATAATGGTTCATCTCATTATCTCACAGAACAATGCAGGCATTTGGCACTTGAAGGAAATGTATGGTTTCTCAAGGGGTTGTTGTGCTTCAGGTCCAAACCAGTCCATCAGCTAGGGTGTAGACTGGGCAGTACAGGTCTGCATGCTGGGGCTTTGATGCACATGGTGGGATGGCTGCTCCCAGAGTAAGGTTTGTTACTGGAAAGCCTTTGCATCCTTCTCCCCTTTCCTGTCTTCCCTATGTGGTTTTCAGGTCAATGTGGATGACACTGGCATTACATAAGAGGAGAAGGAAAATAAAAGCTATAAAAGTTTGTACAGAGCAGCATATGGGCTGCGGATGCCATTTAATCAATTTTATTCCAGGATGGACTTATAACTTCTGACTCAAATCAAAAAGAAAGTATTCAGACTACTTCAGGTGGAATTCTATCCAGTGTTAAGAAGTAAAAATAATTCCCCTAATGTAAGAAAAACTCCCTAGAAGAAAAGTGAAGTGGGCTTTCTTAAGATACTGTCTCCTTTCAGTCATTTCCTTGATTGCATTTGGTGCCACAGAGCATGGATTTGAGTCAGTAAGAAGAATCCCATAAGTGACCTCTCTGAGGACTCATCTTGCTGATGAGTGTCACTGCAATGCACCCAAATCAAAGCCAAAGGATATTTGGGAAATAAAAAAATAAGGTAGAGTTAATAACCTACTGCTCTCATCATCTCAATACAAGCATCACACTGGAACAACTTCTTAGACCCTTAACAGTGTCAGTGGTGAGAAATAGCATTTCCTCTCTCTACACTTCTGTTTCACCCTGTTTTATGGAAAGAGTCTCTGCTTAGTTGAGTTGTATTATTTTAATTACTGTGGTATACTTACCGCTTTAAATAGTGTTTTAGGCAATATGATTAATATCTATGTAATGTTTACTCAGTATCCTGGTGTCTGGCTGAGCATAAGATATGTTCCTCAAAAGAATGTTTTAAGACAATATGACTAATGTCTGCAGTGGGACTCCTTCTTCCCTTCATATGCTCCTAGAAGAAAAGTTGCATTTGGGATGCAATGCATTGATTTGGTGGTATTTTATTTCAGTATAGATATTGCTGGATATAGGTAGGCAATGCAAGGATGGTGCGAACTTGAATGAACAAGAAGATCTGGGACAGTTGTTAGTTTCTGCAGGTGTTAGGTTTATGTTCTTAGATGGCCACCCAGGAGTGCTTGGATATATTGCATAGATTCTTCTGGCAAAAAGTCAGATGTTGTATCGAATATCTTGGACCAAAAATGCAATACTCCTTGATGATAAAGCCTGGGACCATAAGCTTGACTCTGTATCCTAGGTGAGCCAGCATACACATCAGACAATGAGTCGTGTCCTTGCAGGATCCCAGATTACTGAAGAGTTAGACTACAGGTTTTTATATGCTGGCTAACGTTAACTGTGATCAATGTAAACCTCTAAAGGATTCTTTTGGGATAGTCTATGATAATTAGTGTTCAGGAATCTGGAAAGCTGAAATGACACAAAACTGATCTATCTAGACAGAAATGGTTGTTGGAGACTCATTTCCACAGTGCTTCTAAGCATGTCAGTGTTCTCTCTGAATCATCATCTAAAGAAAAGAATTTGATTAGGGAAAATAGCAATTCAAAATAACTTTCTGCTCTGCATCTCAGCAGGTCTTAGGTTGTCTTCTGTTTCAGCAGCTCTTTAGTGAAAAGGCTGTGTTTCCACTGCATTTGCTACAAGCATCTTCCTGGCATTTAGCAAAGCAGTTGACAATAACAAAGCTGATAGCAACAACAACTATATAAGGGCTGTAACCAGATAATCTGGCCTAACTCTGGAATCCTTCTGTGTCAGTGATTTCATGGTTGGCAGACCATCACACTGTCTTTCAGGACCATCTGATACCACACGATGCCTGTTTAGTAAGTGTGATTCATGACTTCTTCACAGGCTGGTAAGTATGCAGGGACATCAGATCTGCATTAGCCTAACATGGCTTATCTCAGAGGGTTAGATGGCAGTAATATTACAATATGCATATACCACACAGTACCTCTTTCCCAATGCTAACAATTGCACTGGGAAGGCTTCTGGAGCACCAGCTGAAAGATGGCTGGTGCTGCCAGTATGCTCCAGACATTGCAACAGCTTTGTGAACTAGGATCCTTGATGCCACTTTCAAGAAAATTATATTTTAGAAAATCTCCATATGCTGTCTTTAGCTTCCCTGTCATATGCCTTCTGCTCAATTAGCAGCTGCAAAAGGACAAAATCCGTTACTGTTTGAGTTCCAACTGTTCAAGTTAAGAGAGCACAAACAGTTAAACTATACCAATAAATTTACTTGCTACAAATTCATGCAATTGGAAACTTACTTCCCACATTTGCATGTCTCTCAAAATTAAAAAAAAAAAAAGGAATTCACAAGCCATATGCTGTTGTGACATCCATGCAATGTAAATTGATAACCAGTTTGGATGCCATTCCCTAGTTTATTGGAGACCGCTTCCAAGAAAGATAGATCTGCTGACAAGATTAAACAAGTGACTCATGAAAACAAACAAGGAAATAATCTCTTATATTCAGTGCAGAGTTTGGGGCTTGTGGAATATCCTGTTCAGGAGAGTTCCTGCATTGGCAGTGTGCCTGATATGGGTTTAAAAAGAGACTAGCTCATCGCAAATTTTACACAGCAAGCAGGAAATGATTCTTCATGTTTCCCAATCCTTGTTCTCCTCCTACTCCCTGAAAAAATCACTCACACCAGGGTGGGATTAGTAATTAGCTGGTATGTGCCTTGAATACTTGCCTTGAATACTGGCTAGCAAGAACTGCAAAATCCTCATCAGTGAGACTAAGAAAAAGTAACAAATAATCACTCACCAGTTTCACGCTTTTCTCTGTCCCCATTTCACACAGTGCTGAGGAGGAAAGAGATTAATTCCTGAATCTAAACTTATGAATTTCAGGATAATTCAGACCCAGTCTTCAAATCTGCTTACTAGTAAATCAATAGAAAAGTGGTTCATCATTGCTACCTTAGATTTCTTGATTTCATGAAAAATCCAACTATCCAGCAACCTGATGGAGTATATTTACAGAAAGGCATTACTTCTTTCATGGTGGGCCAGAGCCTTTGTTCAAAGACATGGTATGAATGAGGACAACTGACTTGCCTGAGAGAAGAGATCTCATCTTTGCACATGTTGATTAAAAAGTTAATTGGACTTTCATTTGTTGTGATCAAAACACTCAGATTAACAAGAGGCATCTGATAAACATAATCTTCATTGAATACCTTCATAATCAGAAAGTGCTGAGGAGCAGGGAAGATGAGGTATAAGTTTTAGTTCCTCTGGCTCTTGAGCAAGACACAAGTGCTGCTGCCCTCAGCAGATTACGAAATCAAGATTGTCAGACAAGCATGAAAGGAGATGTCAAAATTACTTACACAGATCCAGGCACTTTCTGAGCTAACAACTTACACAGATCCAGGCACTTTCTGAGCTAACAAAAATTCACTACAATGCCTTGCACTACTATTATGGAGAGGGAACGTAATTTTATTTTATTAAGGAGATGATGGGACTAATTAGGCACTTGAAAATGGATATTCCAGATCAGAGAGGACTACTCATATACCCGAACTGCAAACATAGTACAGTTGCTCATGTAAATACTATAAAAGCACTTTTCAAACAGAAAACAATCGCTCCCAGGCCTATGATTTATCTTCTTCAGCTTTCAAAAGGCAGCTTTCAACATGGTAAAAGACTCCAGGGACCTATGATGGGATTCAGACCTTGAAAATATACCTAGAAAAAGTGGAACCACAACTTTAAGACAATCTGTATCTTACTAATAGAAATAAAGAGCAGTAGTTTCAGTCATTGTCTTAAGAACAAATGTGAAAAGAACACTTTACACTGAGGATAATGAAGGAACTAGTTATATTTAAGATAAAAAATGAAATCTGCAATTAAAATATTTTGTAAGGATAGAAAAGAGGAATTTGGTGATGAATGCAATTCTTGTTCCTTGATTTGAATTAATTTATTTTTCCTTTCTTCACCTTGATTTGTATAGTTTCTGTGTGAAGACGTCCAAAATGCCTTCAGATTTAATTATGCAGATCGCTAAAACTTGTTACCTCAGGATAGCAGCAAAATAGTCACATTACATGCCGGACAAACAACTCGTATCTTGATCTAAATGAGCAAAAGAAGTGGAGAAAGCAATACTACAGAAGCCTAAAGAAACAAAAGCTAGTGGAGCAAAATAATTCCAGCTCATTTCCTTGGCTGGTCACTATCAGCTTGCAATCATACTTTTGAAGTAGCCAGTGCTTGTTTATCCCTCCTGCTCAGAATTTTGTTTTAAATGTTTGAAGTAATATTTTTGAAATGAGATTAATAATTGTGTGAAAGGTAAAATAGTATTTTGCTTGGTTAGGTGAAAGTTACTCAGGCCTTCTCCCTTTTTTCTTCATATTGCTTTTGTGAGCCTACACAGGAAGAAACTGAGAAGAAAACTGAGCCCTGGAACGAGCAAGAATAAATCCCATTACCTTTTGACTCATATTCAGGTCTGCCACATGGCATTATGTACCCTCTTATGCAGGTGTGGGGGTGGTAATAGCAAGATGACAACTGCTAAAGAGTCTCATGAAACATAATTTTCCCAGTCACCTTTGGAAGTCCATTCCCTAATGTTTCTTAGATTGCTCTTTAAAATTGTTTGGAATGTCTTATTCTCTGTTTCTAAAATCAGTATGGCCTGTACTACATAGCACAAAACAGTCCAGTCTGCAACAAGATGACCATGGTGATTGAAACATGCAATTTGTGAAAATTCCATTTGGGGAAATACCACATAAATGGAGGGTTAGAACCTCCCAGCCCTTGCTTAGGTGAGTAATCCTTCATCGGTTAAGTACATGTGCTTCAGAGTCTTAAAAATCTCATCTATTTCTGTATTTGCAAGCAGACATTAAATTGCCTGATTATTTCATATACCCAAGGGAGCCAAGCTATATGGTGTGTCCCAAGACCAGGGTTTATAATGAACTGTAGCAACAGCAGACTTATTTTAAGACAATCTTTTAAGAGTATAAGTGTAACATGTAATGGCTTAGAAAGATTTAGCGACCTGGAAAATTTAAAATTAAACCCCCTACCACCCCAATAGCCAAGTTCTTAGCTATACTAGTGGGGGCTGGGAGTCCTACACAGTTCCCAGGCTTTCCTAGGGTGACTGTGGATAACACTTTACTTTCACAGTAGTGCCAGTTTCCTCTAAAGAGAGATAACCTCCTTTTGGATGTTCTACTAACTACCAAGGCAATCTAAGTCTAAGAAGTTCTTTGGTTGTCTTCTTGTGAGTACTAATCTTCTTTCTCAACTAACCAGTGGGGAGTCACCACTGATGTTTCTTGCAAGGCGTTAGCGATTGTGGGTGCGGAATAAAAATGTAGAAAGGAAAAACAGTAGCTATTTAAACATTAAAGAAGGAGCTGGTTTTGTAATAAAGCAGTTAGAGCAAAAAGCATACTTCAATTTCACGGTACAAATTTACCATCTTGATATGGTAGATATCAGGTAAATGCAGGTTTCAGCACTGCAGACACACAGAGTTAATCCATTTGGATTGATACAGACTCACTGTGGAGTGAAACTCCATTACCTTTTAGTAATGCTGTCAGGATAGCTAAATCAATATCCTGGTGTCCTTCCGATCCCATGCGAAATACTGTGATCTGAAATGTTAAAAGACAATGCTGTTATTGAAACCAGAGTAATTTAAAAAAAAATAAAATAATTAAATCAGGGCAGCATCATTTGCATCTCAAAATGTCCTGATGGCTACAAGATGAACTTACGTCATACATTTTATGAGAAGCTTATTAGATAGTATTAACACAGTATTTTTTGTGAGACAAAATTTGCTGAGGATAGAAATTGTATTAATGAGCATATGGAAGAAAAGTCTTCAGTGATACTTACAGGGTGAAATTAGAGATGAAGGAATGTTTTTGTATTACAGTAACATTAGATTAAGTGTTCCCAATACATTACTAGGAGGAACTAGGTGTTTATAGCTTGTGGACCTCATTCGTGGCATATGGCATTGAATAAGAATTTTTGACTGAAATTAGCAACCTATTCAACCTCATGATTTTATACAGCAGAAAGTTAGATAAATAATCTAAGAATTAGGCTTCTAACAGGTCCAGGAACGTCTTTAGCCATGTGTGGTCAGTGACCTATCACTGTAAGATCTAAGCTTTGCGGCACTAAGGTCAGATACACAATTCATACAGAATGAGAATGAATACAGTGGGGCTGTTCTTTCAAGCCAGTTTCACTCTTGGTTAAGACTGCACTGAAACATATAGAAGTGTAAATCCCCTTGCTCCTTTTGTTGTCATGGCAATAGCTGCTCTTGGGCCTCTGCTTCTTGTGAAGGAACTAAGACTGCAGCTCTTTATTAGTGCCTTTCCTTTACTAATGAAATCTATGTCACCATTTTGATCTGAATACCTGTTATCTGTTTTTCTTTTTCCTTTTATCAGTACAGACTGCCTCAATTGTTTTTTTAATTCAGTGATACCTTTAATTAGGAATTGTGTAAACATATTTTACACTCATATTCAGCAGCATATGTTGTCCCCACATTCCTAGATTTGTACTCATACAGCACCACTGAGCTGCAGCCGCATCTGGGATAGAGGTCAGCAAACTTCAGGGCACAAAGAACAGTCTGCCGTGACGGGGAAAGGAGATATATAAAGTGGTCAAGGCTAAGACAACACTTTATTGACAACCTTTAGTTTGCCAGCTGAAATAGCCTTGCAGAGGGTACCCCAAGAAACCCAGTGTAGCCTTCCTGTAGTACCTATTCCACCTTCATCGACCCTAGAACTCTACGGGGTTCAAGGGGAGGTAAGAGACTTTGGCATCAGCGACAGTAGTACAGCATGGCTGTAGACAACACTTTATTGACAACCTTTAGCTTGCCAGCTGAAATAGCCTTGCAGAGGGTACCCCAAGAAACCCAGTGTAGCCTTCCTGTAGTACCTATTCCACCTTCATCGACCCTAGAACTCTACGGGGTTCAAGGGGAGGTAAGAGACTTTGGCATCAGCGACAGTAGTACAGCATGTTAGAGAGGCAAACTGGATGAAGTAATAGGAAACTGGCTTAGCTCAATTAGTCAATTGATTTAGATGATGCTTAAAACAATTAATGTGAGAAACCATTTATGTGAGGTGTCCTCCCCAGTTAAAGCAGACTGTTTTCAAATTAGTCGTAATTTGACCTTTCAAAGTATTCCTGAGACAAAGCATAAATACTGCAAATTATACTTTAACAATCTATTTTCTCTCTCCCCCTGGAATCTATAGATGTTCCTGGCAAACCACTTTACGTCTATTCCCATACTGCAAATTTTAGAATATATAGCATAGACTAGACTAGACTAGACTAGACTAGTTCCAGTTGGAAGGGACCTACAATGATCATCTAGTCCAACCGCCTGACCACTTCAGGGCTCACCAAATGTTAAAGCATATTATTAAAAGCACTGTTCAAAAGCCTCTTAAACACTGTCACCCGTGGGGCATTGACTACCTCTCTAGGAAGCCTGTCCCAGGGTCTGACCACCCCCTTGGTAAAGAAGTCTTTCCTGATGTTTTTCCTGATGTTTTTCCTAATGTTTTTCTTATCTCCTCAATGACCGGCAAAGAAGCTTTCTTTGCAGTGCAAGAAGTCTGCTCTTCTGACCAGTACAGCACAGGTAACGTGGGTAGAAATACACATTACTACGTATATCTCATCTCAAAACACAATAAAAACGTAAGCTGATGAGATCAGCCCCTCTACTGTACATGCTCATGAAACACTTCCCATGCCACAGATGACGAACTGTACCACGGAGGTTAGCAGCCAGGCAGGCAGGTCAGAAGGCAGAAGGAAGAGAAAGCCAGTGAGAAAGAGGAACATGTCCCTTCTCATGATCAGCTCTGGCAGGTGCTGACAATACGCGGGTGAATAGTGTTGCCACATAACAGTCTGATCATAGCTTCCTCACAACGCTTGGAGATTTCCTACACAATTTGGCAGCCATAGGAATCTCCACAGCACTGAAGGACAGCTGTGACAAGCTGGCAGGCAGATCAGCTAATGCTAATGAGACACTAATGAGTGCTTGGTGCCACCACCACATGGCAAAATGCCCTTCTCCTTCTTTAAGGCCAAAGGTGAAGCAGTCTGCACATCGGGGACTGAAAATACTGAACAACAAGAGTTCAGCGGAAGAGCAAAGTACATCTCAAACACACATCCAGTGAACTCACAGCTTAATTAAAAAGCATCATATAAATTGGAAGCACTGAACAGCTTATCACCACAGGAAGACCAAGGGAAGCACTTTGCATATGTTGGACCACATATAACCCTAAATTTCCAATTTCTCTTTCATCTCTCTTCCCTGCATGCCTTAGCGAAATAAATCCACTTCAGGAGTACAAATTGCTGCTGTATTAACAATAAAATAGAACTATGTGATTTAGTTACATTAGAATAAAAAGGCTGTCTTTCCACAGTAACTGCTACTTTATCATTATTTTTAAGAGGTCTAGCATAATTCAAGTAGTAAAATAAAGAAAAAAAAGTCAAGTAATTGGGAAAAAGATGGAAATGGAGAGTGCTCAGACTCATACCAGAATTATTATAATTTTGGGTGTCATGCCCAAGACTGAACTAGAATTTTAGACAGAACAAAGGCAAAATATCATGCCGCTTCATTTCAAAATGCTGCAATGTTAGTAGCTCAATGACTCAGCTGATATTGTGCCCTTGCACCTGTAAGGTGGTAAATGGTAAACAGATATGTTCAGTCTTTCCTTATGGTTTAGGTTAACTGTAACTATCCATAGCTGTTTTCTGTCTGTGATGGATGCACTCCTCCTGTTTGAGCTAACTGAACTTTGGTCCAAGCAGATGCTCCTGATCAAAGTTAATCCTATCATGTGAGACTACCTGTGAGAACTCAGCGCC